AAGAAAAAGTGGGAAACAGTTAAACATGAGAGGTTTTTGGACAAAGTTTGTGTTTTTTCCATTGTTTAAGCACTGCTTCCAGCCAAGAGTGATGCCATATATGCCCCATAGCTGCAGAAAAGGCTAACATTGTTATATTGGTGCTTGCAAAGAGCTGAAGTTGTGTTAGCAGGATAATGCAGTTGTTTCCATCCTGGATGCAGTTTCCACTTTACCATCACACTCTTGTTCTTTTGCGGAATAAAAATAAAAGTAATGTCCGAGTTCATGCTGTGGACCGCTCCACTACTTTCATCCTCAGACACATGAGCTGAAATCAGCTGATTCAAGTGCAGGTGGAACCAATATTAGAATCAACAGGCAAGCAGACTAACAATTCCAAGGAATGCCACTACTGGGAACTGTTCTCGATTCCCATGATCACAAAGTCAAGTGTATTTGATTATCAGATTATCACGTTGTCTGTTGCAGGACTGCAGAGAGTCCTGTGAGAACTTGGTAAGTACCTGTATGAGTTACTGGGGTCACAGTAGTCTCTCTCAATTGTCTCATTATCGGGCAAATCAGTCCACTGGTGTCCCTCTTGGACCTGCCATCGGTACGGCATCTTGTCATGAGCTTTAAAACATCGATCTAAGAAGAAAGAAGAAAGACAGCTGGTCAAAGTCAAGAAAGAACTATATTAAAGCCTCAAACACTTACTAACCATGACTTTCTCACCATCATGTTTGCAGTGACCTTTGATGAAGTACATGCAGATCTCTGTTTTATCTGAAAGAAACAGGAGATATTTCACAGGCTTCATTCAGACAGCAGTTTTAGTTCATCTGAAAACATCAGAAGTGTTTTCAGCCGTTGTTTACCTCTGACAGGCCTCTGTCTATAGTTCTGCCATTCTCCACCTTTAGCAGCTTCATCACTGACAGCAGCGTTAATGTTGCTTGATGAACACGTTTTTGGTAGTGGTTGCTTATTGGTGCCCCTGTTGCCGCCTCTCCCTCTGACAGCTGCTTGACTTCTTCCATGACGGCGTCTCCGTCTTCGATTCTCACCATTTTCACTGCTCGCATCGTTGTCACTGGTGGCTGCGGAGATGTCACTGGTGGAAGAGTTTTCATCGTCGCTTTCATTCAGTCCATTACTGGTGTACAGATCGAAGATGTGAGTGCCAGCAAGCATCTCAGTAAGTGAGGAGGCTCGATCCTGCACTGGTCGGCTGCTGTGGTTTCCTCTGTTTCCCCTATTGCCCCTGCTGCCTGTCGCACCCCTACCACCTCTCCCTCTGCCTCTCCGCTGTTGTTGACCATTCTCAGCCAGCCTCAAAGCCTCTTTATTTGCATACACAGCCTTCAAGGATGGCAGAAGGGCACCAGGTACGCCTCTTTCTTGGACATTTTTTATGGGCTGTGGAGCAGTAAAATTGTGATTCCTCGAGCAGCTGCATTCACGGCTGATGTACTTCTGGCAGATGTGGAGCCTCTTGCAACCATCACCATCCTTACACCTGCCAAACTCTCCATCACCGTTGTTGTAGTCGTAGCATATCTGGTGGAGACAGAACAAAATGAAAGGAAAGCGTGGTTATATACATGGACTGTAAGTAAAAGATGGAATACAATCACTGACTGTATGTAAATGATGGATATAAACATTGCAACATCCTACTTTTTTAACCAGTTTAAATTTGTTTTACTCTAAATGCCACAATAAATTGTTCAAAACGTTTTCTTAGGTCATTTATTCATAAACGTCTGTACAACAGGATAAAACAGGAAGTCTTTTTGCAAAATGATGAGGTCAGCTTTTTATGGCAGCTTTGTAACATTGTAGTGCATTGTATAGAAAAAAAATAAAAAAGTGTATTGTACCGCTCTCACCATGCCCTTCCATATGATATATTACTTGATATGGTTTCTTGACTTTTGTTTCCAAGGAGAAATTTGACCTTGGGCACAAACAATAAAGGTCAAGGTCAAATTAGGTACTCATGTCCCCCGAAACCCTAGTATATCTTTGTCAAGTTTAAAGATGATCTCCCCTTTCTTTTCCCCAGTCAAATCTGTCCCGTATTTAGCAAGTGAAAATAAAATAAAATAAGCAATAAAAGGTGAATCAAATGGACCATTACGGCAAGGCTGGGATGGTCCATTTGGTAAAGTAAATCCGTTGGGCATCTTTCTTCGCCTTTAGACAATAATTCTGATGGCAAAAGAACCAAACGGGACAGGCCAAAAAAAAAAAAAAAGTTAAAAGATGATCCATAAAAAATTGTGGGTAATATAAAGTTTTGACTGATTTTTTAGATGCGACTTTGACCGCGACCCAATTTTCATCTAAATTAAATCAGCTGTTATCATCACACAAAATCTGAAAAAGATATCGTGAAAACTGTGGACAGTACTGCAAACAAACAAACAAACAAACAAACAAAAGGAAATGATTACTTACCAATTACATTGCATGCGTTTTAAAACTTTTAATATACTTTTTGACATGTATAAAAAAGCTGATTTGCCACCAACGTGACAGAAAATGTGTTTTAAAATTGGAGAACAACACACATCTGGCAAACAACTTTACCTCTAAGTTTTAAGAACACCTCAATGACTGCCAATTTGTGAAGAATTACATATTATATTACACTGTGTGGGTGTCAGCTGTACTGTTTGTTATTGCTACAGTATCAACAAGCTGTTACAATTTAAATGAACATATCAGAATCAGATGTGAAAAGATGTTATGACAATGATGATGAGTTCAACCTAAAGTATTTCGTCAGGGTGCTTTTATCGTGTGTTAGGTTAAGACTCACAGCAGGAAGGAGTGTGTGGTCACTCTGCAGCAGCAGGGTGCACAGCTCCTCTCGGCTCAGGCTCTCCAGCTCATGCTGCCTCAGAAGTCTTTGGTTATGCTCAGACGTCAGCTCATGGGAGAAGCTGCAGCCCCTCCTGTTGTAACAGAATCCACACAGCTGAGTCATGACTGTGACATGAGAAGGATTAGGGCCACACACAAACATGATAAGTGCTGCCAAACGTGGATTAATTCATCATTACACTTACACATGCTGTGTGTCTGTTTCCAAATTCAGCCCGATACCAATAAAAAATTCATTTTGACTGCGTGTCTGTCAACATATGTGTTCTTATATTTTTCCAAACCCGAGAATTTGTCCCTAAGTTTAGCTGGCTTCAAAACCAGTTAATATGACGACAATAATAAACACTAATAATAATAAAAGAACTACGAATTATTTGACATTTTAGCCTCTTTAATGGTCCGTAACTTGGTTGTACACAAATACGACAATAAAAATAAAGTTTTTATTGAGACTCAGAAGTCGGTACAAGCAAGCACAGAGAGGAACTTTTCCTATTAGCCTTTCGAGTCACATGATGATATTTGTTCAGCTTAGCTTTTCTAACAAATCTGCGTCAAACTGCTTAAAATGTCGAATTTTCCCAACAATACCTGAAGTCAGTGTCACATTCACTGACTGTAAACAGAGACACTAGTCAGGGCCTTTAACCCTGGAATATTTTGCAGCCACTTTCAGCATTACTAGAAAAGGCCTGGATGAACAGAGACGGTGGCTGTTTCACTCGGGCCATGACTCACCTTTCTTACTTTAAGTCCAGTATATTTACCTGAGCTGAGTGAACTGACAGAAACCGCTGAAGAGGAAGTTTTTGCACAGGTGCAGAGCCCTGCACGTCCCCGGGCAGTCTTTCACTCTGCAAAGTCTCAGGCGGGTCCTGGCCACCACCTTCGGCTGTCCGTTTGGACAACAGGAAACAAATTTCTCTTGGTTACAAATGATCTCCGACAACTTCGTGGGATCTCCGGAAAACAGATTATACACTAAATCCTCCGTGTTGACTGCTCCTTGGCCGGCGCAGATCATTCTCAGTATTTCCGTCTCCATCGTGTCCGAGCTCTGCCTGCGTTTCCTTCCACCTGGGAGACCAAACCGCAGTTTGACGACAGCGGCCGCTGGTTTCATGGGAGGAGGAAAACTTCGGTATCATTTCTGACGATTGGAAAGCGAAACTGAGCTATTTTTATCTTGGACTGATGCTGTAATGCTGCTGATGTCCACTTGGGGGCGTCCATGAAAGAATATAGGGAAGACATTTGTACTCGGCACACAGTGTAACATTAACACAGTAGAGCTGATTAGCAGAAAGCTCAAAGTCTGACTAAAGGAAGTCATAGCTATTACCTCCTGTTTTAGCTTTGCTCTCCTTTAAACCTTTGGGGTGAATTTTCGGGTCTTTAGCTGCTTAACTGTCCATCAGCTGCCAGGCTGTGTGTTTGCAGGTTAAATAGCTCATGCATGTCTGCCTGGGGTGGGGAGGGTGAACCTAAATACTTGTGCTGCACAGCTGTGCACTAACAACAATCACAAGTCCAAAAATATCTTTGCTCTTCTTGTTTGCATAGCTGCTACACAGAACACAGTGAAAAACTGAGGTGATTCTCCAGTGGCACACCTGAACGACAGAACAATGTGAATATCAAGAGTATCATACCAACACTAATACTGGTAACGGATTGATACGAGCACAGGAGGATCGATATCTTGTTTTATCTTCTTCAAGTTCAACATGTAACCGACTGAACTGTGTTATTTATTTATTTTTGGAAATGAAAAAATGTGCCTCATACATGCACCGTGTTGACTGTCACATCTATTTTATTTATAGCCCACAGCACATTTAAAAAGCAGAAGTTGACCCAAAATACTTTAGAGACAGGCGCCTTTACAATCCAGCTCGCCAACAAGCTCACTTTTTAAAATGCAAGAACAGCAGTTAGCTGTGTTTTGTTGTGTTAACTCATTATTGTTGGAAAGTAAAAATCACAGCAATTTACTGATCATTAAAATGTGTCCAGAATTTGCAAACTGATGATGATTAAGTTAGAAGTAAGTATTCCTCATTAACTGAAGGTGTTGGAACGCCTGAGCAGAGGGAAAATATGAATGTTGTTATTGTAAATATTATTGTAATCTTTGTTTGTTCTTTTTCAGGGTTTTTGAGGGCAAAAAGAAGGTTTGTAAACCCACAGCTTATTGCTGAAGCTTGTTCGCCTTCATCTTTTTGCTCTTTAACAAATATAGTAAAGAGGGTTTTTTTGTTTTGCAGTTTTTTATCCTGCGACTGTGACTCCAAAAGGAAGTGCAGATCATCATATGTCCTGATGCAGACTATAATTTAGGCCACGTAAACCACAGTGGGCCATAATCAAGAACCACACCCGTGAACAGTCTCGATAACTCTTAAATAATTATTTATTTGAATGATTGCCAACATGCACACACACAAAAATCTGTTTTGATAGAACATTTCAGAAGAATAATAGCTTTAATAGTAGAACAGGTTTACAGTGAGCACATGTAAAGAATCTGGAGGTAAACTTTATGAAGCCTGAAACATCCTGTATGACTTTTTTGGGAGAGGGTGAGCCTTTGGAGGCATATCCTTGGAAGGTAACGCAGACTTCCACGTGTTAGTCAGCAGCTCTCATGACTGCTGTTTAAGGCATCAGGACCTCAAGCTATGCTCATGGAGTCTGTTCCTAACAGTTTCATCGGGAACATGCACATAAATATGCCATTCTGTAAGGCTTTGGCAGTGATCTTTCTATTACTTTCTGCATAAAGCAGCAGATAGCGATCCTGCTGCTGGGTTGATGCCCTTCTATGGCCCTTTCAGGGTTTCCTCATGCACAGCCTGCCTGGCTGTAAGTACCCTCTCATACAGTGTCAAGAACAATAACAAAAAGCAAAACTAGTAGCATGGGGTATTTGTATTTTGTTATATCTGTTTCTAATCATTATAAATATATAACAGCTAATCCAAGTACTACTGACAAGCGGGCTATGACTGCAAAAGAGCTAAAGAGAAAGGAAACATACACAATGTAACATTTAAATCATCTTCAAACAGAAATTTATTTTTTTATCAACTGTTTTCTGCATTTACAGTCAGACTATGAACTAGAAAGACTGGCAAATGGAATGAGGTGCACTGTGCACAACAGGGCGAAGTGAACGTTTAACAACCACCACAGCATCACCTTTGTGTTGCACTAGAGCGGCGGTCCCCAACCCTCGGGCCATGGACCGGTGTTGTGCCAAAAAGTGATTGTCTGCCAAAAACTGATTTCCAGTGTTTCTGTGTATTTTTTATGTGTAATATCTTTACGTATAATGGCAGCACGGTGGCACGGTGGTTAGCACTGTTGCCGCACAGCAAGAAGGTCCTGAGTTCGATTCCACCACCAGGCCGGGGTCTTTCTGTGTGGAGTTTGCATGTTCTCCCCGTGTTTGCGTGGGTTCTCTCCGGGTACTCCGGCTTCCTCCCACCGTCCAAAGACATGCAGCTTGTGGGGATAGGTTAATTGATTAATCCAAATTGTCACTAGGTGTGAATGTGCGAGTGAATGTGGGTGTGAATGGTTGTCTGTCCCTGTGTGTTAGCCCTGCGACAGACTGGCGACCTGTCCAGGGTGTACCCCGCCTTTCGCCCTATGACAGCTGGGATAGGCTCCAGTGCCCCCCGCGACCCTGAAAAGGATAAGCGGAAGCGAATGGATGGATGGATGGATGGATCTTTACGTATGTTCGTAAATAGACTTCGGTGAACAGGGGATACAAAGGGGTTACATAAAGAATTAAAACATTATCTGTTTTTTAAGTATCTTTACAACTTGTACTTACATTATAACCAATCCGGTCCTTTATCCCCACTTAAAATATTTTTACAGAACTATTGTGATATTTGCTGCCATTTCTGCTGTCTTGTTGGGCAACTTACTCTTACAAAATACATTTTTAATGTTAATGAGATTTTTTTTACTGCATAAATAAAGGTTATATAAAAGTCGCTGCCAAAAACTGATTGCGGCTTGTATCTTGCTACACGAATGTTGTTTGTGGCTCAAGATGACTTTATGTCATCCATAAGGGATGCATTTGACATATGTTTAACATATTATAGCCCAACAAGTTACTTATAGCACTTTAAATATGAGCAATCGCTTTTTGGCAAATACCGGAAATCAGTTTTTGGCAGACAATCACTTTTTGGCACAACACCGGTACTGGTACATGAGTCGCTGGGTACGGGGCCGCGAGAGTTGAGGCTCGGTTGTGAAATTTATGTTTTTCATGGTTTTTATCGTTAACTCTGTTTCCCTGGGTCTTGTGCCTCTTATTTTGAAATAAATATTTACGCGTTACCATAGCGACCAGAGAGCATTAAGGGGCAGAGAGGAGGATGTTACTGTCAAGTGTTGTTGGCGCATTTCAGGAGGACGCTGCTAATAAAGTTACACAATTACACAGTGAATTCACGTTTATTATTATATTTGTCTTGGTCGTATCATTTTATTCTCTTGTATTTATCCGCGACACCTTAAAAGCCGGTGTTCTGACAAACCATCCTACTTCCTAATCCCAACACAAATGTAAGTAGGCATGACGGTTTGCCACTTAACTTTGCCCATCGGAGTATTCTTCTCGCGCATATTCACAAAGGTAGGACGGTTCGCCACTTAATTTCGTGTTGTGCGCATGTGTACAAACAACAGGTAGGATGGTTTGTCAGGTAGGATGGATTCCCAGAACACCGGTCTGTGAAAATATTGTCTGACATTAAACCGGTCCGTGGTGCAAAAAAGGTTGGGGACCGCTGGACTAGAAGGTCCATGTTTTTCGCTTTCCTTCTTCTCAAGCTTTTCCGAGCACAGTGAGCATCGCACACTGCTGCTGTTTGTTTCTATACGTGTTCCCAGACGTTGGTCCCTGCTTGCTGCTGATGTTGCAAAGGTCATCTAAAACAGCAAAGCTATCATCAGGCACCAACACGCAGTCCGTCGTGTCTTGGACAAATCCTTACGAGAATCTGAGGCTCTAAACGCCTCCAACGGTATCCCTTTTTATTATTTGATATGTTTTAGGTACGACGCTTTCGCATGATAACCACTAAACGTGGATGACGTATAAAACTTCCCGAGATAATCACGAGGAAAGCACTCAGGCTTTTCTTCTGATATGGTTAGCACGCTGCAGCATATCTATATAACTCGCATAAACCTGTCCTATGGGCGGTTTTTGCTAAGCCTGTATGCTTTGTCAAATTCTTCATTCTGTATTTATGTTGAGTATAACTAAATTCCTTCGCGTATGTTGAATGTCACAACAACAACAAATGGAGACATCATCGCATTGTCAGGGTGATAAATATGAAAACTTAAAGACATGGCTTAAAATAGATGTTAATAACTGCAATGTTATTAAAAAACTTTTCTTTAGATTGGCCCACCATTAAGGAGATACATACAGATATATGCTAAGATCATTAGCGATACAAAATGTCATTATTACATTTTGTATAAAAGTTAGTGTAATTTCTATAAAAAACACCTCAGCAAATGGGATTGTGCCAGCCTGGTTTTATGTGCATCTTTTGCACATAAAAGATGCAAAAGATGCACACATGTCTTCATGTGCAACATGAAGACAGACTGACTGGAAATGTTTGTGATTTGTGGAAATTTGTCTTCTTTTAAAAATCACTTTGCATTTGGTCGAGTTGAAAAAGTTTGAGCATCGAAACAAACAAAAGAAAACTTGCTTATTCAGCATTTTCAGCATTTGAATTAAACCTAAAATAGCAACTGACTGGGAAGCTAGTTTTACCAAGTATTTCCCAGGACAATTCACACATTTTTACCAACATTGCTAAATGCTTAATGGTAAACATGTGGTTCTCATATCTCTTTTCTACTCTGAGTACTCAAAGTTACATTTGTCTCACTATCAGCACATGAAAGAAACTGTGCTGAGTTGGTAAGCTGATAGGGTCGCTGGTTTCTTTCACCAGTACACTGTCTAATTGTACTGTATCAGGTACTCGGGGTAGATCTGGTGCTTCTCAAACACCACAAATATGGCTGGGTCCATTACATCGTCTACACAGCTGTCATAGAGGTTTATGCCCCCCCCGTCTTTTGAAGGAGGTTGGCAATAATCGGAGGACCCTTTGGTGAAGTCTCCCACCAGCACCCGTGAGATGAACATGGCTCGGACGTCAGTGTCACCGGTGAAGTCGTGGGAGTATCTGGCATCGCGGGCAAAGTAACTACCTGTGTTTAGACACCAAAAGGTACAATTGTGAAAAAATGTATTTGTGGGGAAGGAAACTGGTAAACATGCAGAGGTGATTACACGGTGAAAAATCAATGTTTTCCATAAGAATAACTTCACAGGACTCACGGTGTCACAAAGATGAGCGTGGCTGGAGTCTTTGCCTTTTAAATCTATGCTGAACATGTGCTGAATAACCAATAACTATTTCAGCACGAACATTTCTTCCACTCACCTTTGCCATAAGCCATTCCATGAGTTCTGCAGTCGAAGTTGTTGTGGCAGATGGTGTTTACAGATTTGGAGTCGATGCCATGAAAAAGCCTTAGTTCAGGCACATCTCTCCCTCCGTTTTTGGTCCTCATCTGATTCTTCTGCCTTGAAAAAGGAGACAGGAAACAAATTAAAGCAAGCTGTAAGAGTGTGGATCATGGTCTTGTGTCTTTGAGCCTGTGTTTTAAGTTTTTTTATGCTTTGAGTTTTCTGTGAGCTCATGATTTGTTCTTTTGGATGTTGAGACGCAGTTTATGTTCTAGCTCTGTATTCACTCCTTTCAATATATTATTGTTTCACATTGCTTCTGTGTTCGTCATCAGGTTATGTAATCTTTAGTCATCATCTTTTATGACCCTGTCCCGTCTCCCCAGTCAGTCACGTCTCCATGTTCCCGTCACTGTGTCAAGTTCACATGTCTTAGTCTGTGTCTTTGTGGTCTGAGTCTCCCTTTGTTCTCATGGTTGTGTTCTCCTCCACAGTATATTTTACTACATATAATGTCCCCATAGGTCACATTATATCTGGAAGAAAACAAGCCATGAAATTTTGGGAAGTCTTTGTAGATCTCCAAGGTAACACTGGGGTAAGGGTCTAGATCCAGGCAAGGATATAAAGAAAAAGTAGAGAAAAAGTCAGAAAGTGTGCATGCTAATAGTAGACATTGAATAAAAGATGGACAAAGCCTGTGGTTCTGAAAAGTAACACCGCTGCGGGCAGCTTAAATCTCTATATTCAGGGGGCAGCAGGGGGCAAAAAGTTGAAAAAAGTGGTCAGTTTATTGAAATGCATGAAAAAAGATCTTCTTAGTACGTTTATGACTTCTTTAAATATTTTCCTATTGGGTAAATTTTTTCTCCATTAATAGTTTTAATTCTACTTCAATACAACATGAGTTTTGTAAATGATGATGTCACTTTATCAGACAGGGATGGCTACCTGCAATCATGCATATTAATCGGATGTCGGTACGTACAACTGAAAGGCCGCCCAAAGACTTTGGTTCTGAATTCTCTCAATGTTGATGATATCAAAGCCTCTCATGGTTTTACAGAAAAGAGCTTCAACCTCCTTAAATTCTCTTGAGCTGCTCTGGAGCGAGATTTGCTGTAAGAAAACAGAGAAACATAGAAAATGTTCAGTCACAATAACATTGAACAAAAACAAGCTGTAATCACAATTTTAAAACACCATCATCAAACACAGAAACAGAAAAAATTATTAACATTTTTTTTTACTTTGGCTTCTAAACAACACTTTTTTTCAACACTTGCTGAAGGAAATATTTGGTTTTTTTGCTGAATACTTTATTATGTTCCATTTAGCTAACATAGCATCTTTGCTGGCTGAAGAAACAGATAATCAGCCTGTGCTGATGTAAAAAAACAAAACAATGAAATGAAAAAAGAAACAGCAGAAATCTAGCAATACTGAAATCATTGACTGTCTTTTTTTTGAAAATTAAAAATACAAAGTCTTATATCAGAATAAACTGAGGCATCGAGTTTTCAGCAGCTGTACTAAAGAAAGTTGATTCCTAAAATCTGCAAACATGTGAAAAACGACCTCAGCTATCTGGTACTAATCATCACATTTTGTTAAAAATTACACTGCAAACAATAATAAATAATAGATTACAATTACTCAATGATGTTTACATTTAGAAATGACTTAAACTTGACTGTGAACTAAACCAACAGAGGAAAAATTATATTTTTTATATTTGTTGGTTTTCACAGTACCGAATATCCTGTTTCAGGGATCTGTGTCTTGTCCCAGTTGTCCGGTACTGGGCCAACATTTTGAACCACAGGCCTTCTGCAAACAGAAATGATAAGGAATGCTTTCATTATTGTTCGTTTTAAAACCCCAAAACACATTTATAGTTATATCAGTACTGAAATTAATTAAAATTAAAATCGTTAATTTAAAAGCCATTAAAAGCCGTAATAACAATAGTACAATTTTTTTACTGGATTTTTAAAAAGATTATTATGATTATTATTGTTGCAAATTCATCAGAAAAACTACCAACAAAAACTTAACAATTCAGATTTATGTCTGAGGCTGCAACTTTTGGATTGCAATGATTTGTTTCACATTAGAGCACAGACAACATGTGGAATGTTTAAACTGGAAAAACTGCACCATCATAACAAAAACGTTCATGTGTAGCATGCCCTCTCTTTTCTAACAACAGTCCACAAATGTCTGGGAACTGAGACCAGTTGGGAGAGAGAGATGCTCAACAGTCCTATTTTTAATGCAGTGCCACTTGAGTGCTCAAAGATCTCATCAACTAGTGATTTTTGGCCCGAGATTGTTCCAAATAAAGTCTTTGTAGATCTCCAAGGTAATACTGTGGTAAGTTCTAGATACAGGAAAAGGAAAGTATATAAAACCATATCTAGAGCTTTGATTGTCTCAATGAGAAGAGTAAACCGAACAAGAACATGAATTTTCCTCCCCAATTAGAATGAACTTCTCAGATGTAAGAACACAGCAGAGAATAAGCTGATAATTCTGACATCAGGCTAATTTTTAAAAACAGGGGTCTGAAAAGCTTCTGCTGCGGCTGCTCTTGGGATGACGTACCTGACTTTCTTTGTCCGGACGTCTACAGCAGAGACAAACCGTGGCCGTCTGCACACAAGCGTCTTCGTGCCATTAAGGTTGTTTGTCTGCATCATGTCTGACGGGTAAGAAAAAAAACATAAATAAAAGTTTAAACTTGTGCAATGATAGTTTAATAGTTTAATAGTTTAATTATTTATATAGCACATTTAATTACAACAGGAGCGTTGACCAAAGTGCTGTACAAGAATACAACATACATAATAAAACAACTTAGAGTATTAAAAGCAAACACCAAATATGAATTAACAAATAACAAATAACTCTCATGCTGTATTAAAAGCCAGTAAATAAAAATGCGTTTTAAGATAAGATTGAAAAAGATTGACAGTAGGAGCCTGTCTGATGTGTAGGGGTAAATTATTCCACAGCTTAGGCGCTACGACTGCAAATGCTCGATCACCTCTATGAACCAGCCTCGACCTTGGTACAGCTAAAAGCAAAAGATCACTTGATCTAAGAGATCTAAGGGGGGTATAAGTCTGCAAGAGGTCAGACAAATACCCGGGAGCCTGTCCTTTCAGGGCTTTGTAAGTCAACAATAACATTTTAAAATTAATTCCGAAGTGATTATGACACCACTTTTAAAACACAGAAATCGGCGATCAGATACAGTTTCCATATTCTTTGTTTACCCTCGAAACTGAGTGAATACGAGTGTGAACCAGCAGTAAACTCCACAACGTCTTTATTATTGCCCAGGAACAACTTCTCCAGCTTTGTGCTGTTGATGTCTGCTGCTTCATGTCCACCAATCTGCAAAGTAAGAAAGGCGAGCAGGTCTTTAAACGCATAACAAACAGGAATTGCCATATGAACAATAAATCGTTGGGAAGCAAAAGAATATTGTCTAAAGAGCTTGTAATATTATAAAGATCTCAAGGTAGAAATTCCCAAGTTAGCATAGCCACAATTATGAAAACAGTAACATTTGGTTTGGCAGAGTCGTCATGCTGGACGTCCTTCCTCACCGAGCTCAGCATGGCTTTGAACTTTTGAACCCCTGACACCAGATTTGTGTTTTGGTATCAAACTAGGGATTTTTTGCATGTTAGGTATATGTGTTAACGACCACAGCTGGAGCCTTAAGAGTTTAAAACATTTGATCTTAGGTTGCAGACATTTGTATGAAAATGGAAGAAAAGCAAAGCATGGTGCATTCATTTGGTTGGTAGCATGTAATTCTTCCTCTTTCCTATAAATCAAAGGTAAGTGACTGCTTAGTTTAGTATTAAAAATCTCAACAGGTTTTTAATTCAGAATATGAGATGAGATATGAGAGGAATACATTTGCTAGGTAAAAGAAAAAGATTAGGAGATGAGCTGTAAATAAGAGAATAGAGCAAGTAAAACATTAACCATGAAACAAATAAATCAGGATATAAAGAAGGCCAAAATCAAAAAAACTAAAAAAGCACGCTGGGCCACAGCCAGTGTAACTCAAACTGCTGAGAAATATCATGATCTTAATTTAGTTTAAGAGTAAATCTCTGCCAGCTTCACTTCTTTCTCTTTTGTGTGCATCATTTATTGCAGTTTACATGTAGTATTAACTGCAGCAGTAGGTGCCATTGATAATGTGACTGAGACAGATGTACAGTGGCACAGATCAGCTCCACCTGCTCTTCATGCTGAGGCACGCCGGATATAAAACTCTGACCTGCTGCAGCTATTTTTCCATGTTTGTTCACGGTTTCACAAACATATCAGTCAGGAACTAGTTCACCCGTACACCCCTCCTAAGACGTGGAGTTACTCATGGCAAAGACTTTAACCTTTGGTTTGTTAAAAAGATCAGAAAGTGTAAGCTCTGAATGGCTGCAACGTCAAACTTAAATGGTAGTGGAAAATTATTTACTTTAACCTTCTAAGACCTGAACTCTTCCACAGCAGCATTTTTAATTTCTCTTTGATATTTGGGCTGATTGGGTCCTGATAAATGTAAAAACAAAGAATTACCAGATTTTTTTGTTTTTACCTCATTTTTGTTTCTAAGAAAAATAAGAGCCACATATGAGGATATTCATTTAAAATTTCGATAGAACAGTAGCAGCATAATGTCCTCGTAAGTGGATTTCAGGCCCTTGTAGAGCAAAATTGAGTATTTTGGTCTAAATAACCCAAAATGTGATGTCCACATATGTGGACGCCAGGTCCTAGGAGGTTAATACAGTTTCCATAAAACAACAGAGCTATACTAAAATTTAAGTGAGTAATGATGTTTATATTACAAGATGATGTCAGTCTGTTTTGTTGTCATTGTGATGTTGTGCATCGTATGGACAAAATAAAGTGTGTTGTACCGCTCTACCATCACACAAAAATTGAAAGTTGAAACTGTGGACACTGGGCTGCTAACAAACAGACGAACAAACAGAACCCATCACTTACTCGCTCCCTTCAGCAGAGAATGAAAAACAGCAAATGCTCTTACGTAATAAATGTGACAGTATGAGCTTTTGGATTTAGCAACAAACTCTTGCTGATATGTTAAATGTGTCAGAGTTTTATATTTGCATGTCCACAAAACTAGCATGCATTTGGAGTCTTGTTTAAATGGCCTGTATTTATATAGTGCTTTACTAGTCTCTAAGGACCCCAAAGCGCTTTACATATCCAGTCATCCACCCATTCACACACTGGTGATGGCAGCTACATTGTAGCCACAGCCACCCTGGGGCGCACTGACAGAGGCGAGGCTGCCGGACACTGGCGCCACCGGGCCCTCTGACCACCACCAGTAGGCAACGGGTGAAGTGTCTTGCCCAAGGACACAACGACCAAGACTGCCCAAGCCGGGACTCGAACTGGAAACCTTCCAATTACAAGGCGAACTCCCAACTCTTGAGCCACGATCGCCCCGATTTAAAGTTTCTTGACAAAATTAATGTAGCTCTGTTCTCCAAATGTGGTCGTGTTCAGTTTTAAAAAGTAAAACAAAAACACAACAACGGTGAAAATGAAGCTTTGAAATGCAATCGACAAACTAATGGGTGACGCAAAGACGACTGTCTTCACTGTTTATCAAAGAGTGCAAACAACCTTTTTAGTAAACAGTCAGTTACATATTTTATATGTTTGTACAGCGGTCTGTTAGAGTTATGTCCTAATATTGTCTTTTCCTTAACAACATAAAATTTTAAAATACGATAACAATAATGTCGTTACTCACAGCAGATGCAAACATGTTCCACCTCCCAAACTCATCCTGCCAGTACCAAAGCCACTCGGTGGTGTGGATGAAGGTCGGCTCAGTCACCGAGTTTTCTGTCGAGAGCCGACGTACCTGCTTCAGTCCGCAGGTCATCGTGTCAAAGTGCACGGCTGGGCTGGTGCTACTGCAGACACACAATTAAAACAAAATGAATCCACTGCTAGCTGTGTACTGCGTGTGTGTCATTTGAAAACACAGCATTAAGACATTTCTTGTAGTCGGTCATCAGGTTTGCACACATCAGCGAGGGATCTTAGACCACTCCTTTTTACAGAAACTCTTTAAACGCTTCAGGTTCTTGGGTTCCACTGAACAACTCAAAGCTTCAGCTCCCTCCACAGATTTTCTATAGGACAGGTCTGGAGACTGTCTGGGCCACTCCATGACCTTTGCTCTTCTTTAGCCACTTCTTTGTTGACTTGGTATGTTTTGGGTCACTGCCATGCTGGAAAATCTGTCCACTCAGTGGTCACGCTGCGGGAGGGAAGTTCTCTTCAAGACTGTACGGTGCATGGCTCTGTCCATTTAGGATGGGAATTGATAAGAATTTAGCGATTCCGATTAAATGATTGATATCAATTATCAATTCTTCATGGCTTTCACTGGCTCTGCTTTGAGTCGCCACCATCTCTAAGCAGCATAGCAAAGACATTACATTCATGGAAGTTAATTACATGCTGTGTGGTCAAATGTTTGTGCATGTTGGAGGGATTTCCCATCCTTCTCGTGTTTTGTGGTCATTACTGAAAAATGTATTACACAAATTACACAAACCCCTTTTTTTAAATAATGCAGTACATACTGTAACTACTTGTTACATTACTCTTTACATTACCTAAAATACTAAAACACACTGTCATAATAACCAGTTAATAGTATAATAGTACAAACCTTAGGCTACAGTCCAGCACACCAACACAAATCATGACGACACGAGGACACACATATGATCCTAGTCATAGTATTTAGGTGTCAACAAAAAGCTGCCAACACAGAGCAAAGCTGAAAACCAGCACAAAGAGCGATCGCCATGGTGATTCTACTTTAGAAACATGAACAGGTAGAAAGAGAGTCTGCAGCCTGACTGCTCATCGGTTTGTTACTTGTTGAAGTTCAGGCTCTGGCTGATGGGCTGCGGCTTTAACATTACTTTGGGTTGTTGGCTAGCTTAGTATTAGCATGCTCTCTGTGCAAAGAGCCAAAGTTGTGTTACCACCATAGTGCAGCTGTTTCTGTCCTAGATGCAGTTTCCACTTTACCATCACACTCTTGTCTGTTTTTTTGTGCAATAAGAATAAAAGGACAGTCCATATCCAGGCTATAGACTGTGCCACTATTTTCCTCCTCCAACAAACTGAAATCAGCTGATTTGGACAACAGGGAACTGGTTCTCTACAAGAACTGGATCCTGATTCTCAAACCTACTGTCCATTAGAACCTCATTCTGGGGAACTCATTCTGAACGCTTAGCAGAAAACAGCTGAAAACATGTTTCCACCTCCGCCCTTGACTGTGGTAAAAGTGTTCTTTAGCTCATATTCAGCATTTCTCTTCTGCCAAACATGGTGGCCAAAGAGATCGACTGACTGACCACAACACTTTCTCCCAAGCCAATCATGAAGATGTTCACTTGAGCAGGTGGACCTTAAGGTTGCAGCAAGATTTCTATCTATTCTGCTTTGTACGCAGTTGAGATCAGGAGTAATGGTATTGGTAATTTGTTGGAAATTCATGTCAACTCAATGTGCTTAACACTGAACATAAAAACATAAAAACCTGGTCACCAAACTGCAACCACCACACTCCACACAGCTTCCCGTGACACTGAGGGAGACAGAGTTCTGTCTGCATGTCAGAGATCAAATCCTTATTTCACTCAGCGACATGCAGGTCAAAGAACTTTTCTGTGATATGTTGATATTCTATCTGCTTCCATCAAAATAAGTAACTAACATAAAACTACCATAAAATTCTGTTCATTTCACTTTAAGTGAGCAAACTTACAAATTCAGCAAAGAATCAAATATTTTATTTTAATATTTATCCAAAGCATTGCGCCTGAAACCGCCGTATTGTAGCGTCCCTCCAACAGGAGACAGAGACGGTCGGGATTCCGTGTACCAGCTGTTCATTAGGAACAGTAACACAGTCGGCTGTGGGCTGTAGACAACGCCAAAACAAAGAGAGCGCTCCCTGAAGAACAAAAACAATCCCTCTGTCTCCTCTTGAACACACACACACACACACACACGCTGCATAACTCCCACCCCCATACATACACTCTCAGCCAACCACAAGCATGTTCTCCTACAGACTCTGTCACAGGTGTTTGATATGATCGACAGGCTTAACAGCCTCTAGATTATTACACCTTCAAGGACACTCAGTAAATCACATCATTGCACGTGTGGAGCAAGTCCGTCATAGCTGTGTGACAAATCTGAACACAATAACGCTGACGACACAACGATCAGATTAACTTGCAATCCAGTTTGTTACATACTAACATCACAGAGAGCCAGCGCTTCCTAAAACCAAAGCTTTCTGAAGCATTTTACCTTCAAAAAATCTGGAAACGCCCAAACCTTTTATCTAAAATTGAGATGTCTGAGTTGCAGAATAAATGTAAGTACCTGTATGAGTTACTGGGGTCACAGTAGTCTCTCTCAATTGTCTCATTATCGGGCAAATCAGTCCACTGGTGTCCCTCTTGGACCTGCCATCGGTACGGCATCTTGTCATGAGCTTTAAAACATCGATCTAAGAAGAAAGAAGAAAGACAGCTGATCAAAGTCAAGAAAGAACTACATTAAAACCTAAAACGCTTACTAACCATGACGTTCTCACCATCATGTTTGCAGTGACCTTTGATGAAGTACATGCAGATCCCTGTTTTATCTGAAAGAAACAGGAGATATTTCACAGGCTTCATTCAGACAGCAGTTTTAGTTCATCTCCCCACAGAAGTGTTTTCAGCCGTTGTTTACCTCTGACAGGGCTCTGTCTATTGTTCTGCCATCCTCCGCCTCTAGCAGCTACATCACTGACAGCAGCACGAACGTCACTTAAAGAACGAGTATTTTGAAAAAGCCGATGGTTGCCCCTGTTGCCGCCTCTCCCTCTAAAAGGCACAGCAGCTTTTTTTGGACGCCATGTCCGGTTTTGGCTTACATCATTTTCGCTGCTCGCATCGTTGTCGCTAGTGGCGGCAGAGATGTCACTAGTGGGAGAGTTTTCATCGTCGCTTTCATTCAGTCCATCGCTGGAGTACAGGTCAAAGGCGTCAATGTTTGCAGCAATGTCACTAAGTGAACAGGCCTGATCCTGCACCGGGCGGCTGCTGTGGCTTCCTCTGTTCCCCCTAAAGCCACTGTTGCCCCAAGTATCTCTCCAACCTCTGCTGAGCTGATGGCCACCTCTCCCTCTGCCTCTCTGACTTTGTTGACCATGGTCACTGACTCGAGCCACCTTCAAAGCTTGTTTATTTGCATAAGTAGCCTTCAAGGATTGAAAGAGTGTGTCAGGTACGCCTCTAGCTTGCAAAGCTCTGAATGGCTGTGGAGCATTAAAATCGTGGTTCTTCCAGCAGCTGCATTCACAGCTGATGTAGGTCTCACAGATGTGGAGCCTCTTGCAACCATCACCATCCTGACACCTGCCAAACAGTCCAACACCGTTGTTGTAGTCGTGGCATATCTGGAGATATGGAGAGAGGAAAAGATGAAAAGTGAAGGTTATAATCACAGACTGTAAATCAAACCTGGATTATAATCAGCCTTCGGCGCGCCGCTGTGACGTAATCGGCCTTGAAATGCGTACTTTAAGGCTGCAGACCCTGAATTGGGATACAGCCATCGTTTACATTAGATCAATCTCTACAATGGCGGATAGAGACAAAATACTGTTACTGTTAATCTGACTATCTGCAGTTTTTACACGCTTACACTTACACACACAGTTGCTGTCCCTCCGTTTAGAAAGGCAGAGACGTCAATGGTGTAATTATTTTACATTTTTCTCAATAGCTATATTTTTCAAAAAAACAAACAAAACATTTTTAAAGAAAAACACTTTCAATTCATTTAAAAACAAAAGTAACATGTTAGTGGAAACAGCGGGTGTGGCATTGTGTCGTAGGAATGCAAACTAGACTGACTCGTCCGGTTCATGCTGTGTGTTGTTAGACTTACATCAGGAAGAACTGTGTGGTCACTCTGCAGCAGCAGGGTGCACAGCTCCTCCCGGCTCAGGCTCTCCAGCTCATGCTGCCTCAGAAGTCTTTGGTTATGCTCAGACGTCAGCTCATGGGAGAAGCTGCAGCCCCTCCTGTTGTAACAGAATCCACACAGCTGAGTCATGACGGTAAGTACTCAGTAAAAGAAAAGAAAAAAACCCAAAACAATAATGACAACAACAAAAAAGCTGTCATGTACGTCATGGGTTATCTTTCTGGTAGAAAGTCCGTTTGCAAGTCAAAAGACAGCGCGATAACTCATGGACAGAATTATATGAAAGTCAAGTTCAGCGTTTTGGGAAAAATGTTTTAGCAGGATTCGCCCAATAATAGGTTTGATGTACAGCTGGGTAGAGCCAGCATCCGTTTAACTTCGAAGACTCAGACACTCCCTAAATAAGCTCTGTTTATTTACTTTAAGTCCAGCATGTTTACCTGAGCTGAGTGAACTGACAGAATCCACTGAATAGGAAGTTTTTGCACAGGTGCAGACCCCTGCACGCCCCCGGGCAGTCTTTGGCTCTGCAAAGTCTCAGGCGGGTCCTGGCCACCACCTTCGGCTGTCCGTTTGGACAACAGCGAGCAAATTTCTCTCGGTTAGAAATGATCTCCGACACCTTCGTGGGATCTCCGGAAAACAGATTATACACCAAATCCTCCGTGTTGACTGCTCCTTGGCCGGCGCAGATCATTTTCAGTATTTCCGTCTCCATCGTGTCCGAGCTCTGCCTGCGTTTCCTTCCACCTGGGAGACCAAACCGCAGCTTGACGACAGCGGCCGCTGGTTTCATGGGAGGAGGAAATCTTCGGTATCATTTCTGACGATTGGAAAGCGAAACTGAGCTATTTTTATCTTGGACTGATGCTGTAATGCTGCTGATGTCCACTTGGGGGCGTCACCGCGCTGTATGACCTCCATAGACCTCGACTGAAAATGAAAAGAAGGGCTTACTTTTGCTTCACAGCTAAAACATGTCCAGTAATGAAAACACATGGCGTCACAATGCGTCTATGGCTCTGTGGATGTGTCGTTGCGCAACAGCCCATCTCCTGTATACTACTGCACAGACTGTGCTGGGCTATAGAGCAAACTCTTGTGCCAGCTCGTGTGGATGGGCCATTGCGAAGGAACTGGATTAACTGTATTTTTAAACAGTGTGTAATCATATATTTTACTCATATCTTATCTAATCATTATAAAAATATAACAGGTAGTCCAAGTACTACTGGCCAATCATGTTTAATCTGGACCGAGTGGAGGTGGTGAGTGACAGGAGAATGGTGGTTAAGCTGTCATTCCTGTTGGACAACATCTCTCACCCCATGCAGGAGACTCTGACAGCACAGAGCAGCTCCTTCAGTAGGAGGCTGCAGCACCCAGGATGTGGGACGGAGAGATTTCGCAGGTCTTTCCTCCCAACTGCTGTCAGACTCTACCACATGGTCTCTGCAGATGACCACACATGTGCAGACAGACACACAAAACATCCAATACACCATGATAGCCCTCGCCCACTCTCCCTTATATGCAATATTTTGTGCAATATCATGTGAACATTTTTTCCTACTATAACAGAGAATTTTATTCTATTTTGTTGGTACTTTATTCTATTGTATTTAGCATTTTATTCTTGTTGTACAATATGTTATTCTATCTTATCCTATTCTATTGTGTTTTTCTTAACTTTTACTGCTCACAAAGTCGTGCTTTCTGCCAGGACCAAAAAATTCCCACATGTGGGACTAATAAAGGTTTATCTTATCTTATCTTAAGCCTACTCTGCAAGTAGCTGTCTACATTTGACCATTTTACAAATCCTTACCTGCAGCGTTGGTCAAGTCACTTGAGAAAAGTAATTAGTTACTAATTACTTCTCCAAAAAAGAAATCGCTTTACTTTACTGATTACTAATTTTCAAAAGTAATTAGTTACTTTATTACTTAGTTACTTTTAAAAAACATATGCAACCTGAATACGTTATAAAGTACTATTGCTTTATAACGTATTCAGGTATCAGCCCAAGTCTATTTTTTCTGCATAATCCATCACATAAAATTGAATCAAATGAAAAAGTATCTTTTAAAACTTAGTATTAGTTTTATTCATGCAGAGTGTACAGCGGATGACAATGTTTTTACAGAATCAAAGTAATGTGAGTACTTCCAACGCTGCATGGTCGCACTCTCTCCCGAGCTCCATAGTATCCGTTGATCTACACACGTCTGCTGCTGCCACAGACGTCGCGCGCTCGTATGTCACTCTCACAGTAACGCAGTAGCGCTTACAGGAAAGTAGCAGTAATCTAATTTCTTTTTTGCAATAGTAATATTGTATTTCACTTAAAAATTGGAAAAAAGTAATCAGATTACAGTAGTTACTTGTAAGGCGTTATTGCCCATCCCTGGTCACCTGTAGGTTATTATTATAGCTTCTAACAAACTGACAGGCTAATATTTTGCCCTCATATCGAGTTTTAAGGAAACTTCCATGTGTTTGACTCCAACAGCAGCAGTGTGCGCTCATCAGTGCACAACAGGGCGAAGTGTGAAAGATGAACAACTACCACAGTATCGTCTTTGTGCTCATCGTTTATTGTTTTCCTTCTTTCTCTTTTTTTTTACATGTTTTTCCAAACACAGAGAAGTGAGTGTCACACACATCGCAGCCCTTTGTTTCTATCTGTGCTCCAAGAAGTTGGTCCCAGCTTCCTGATGACATCACAAAGGTTGTCTAAACAGCAAAGTTATCAACACACAGGCCGTCATGTGTCTCAGCCAATCTGACAGTGTCTTAATACAGTAGGACGCGCTAATATGATAACCACTAACTACCTGAGATAATTAAGAGAAAAGCAATCAGGTGTTTCTTCTAGCTCAGCGTGCTTATGTGATATTAGCGTTGTGCTGCTATTTCTGAGTTATTCTGTATAAAAGTTATTTCAAAGTTAAATTTAAACACAATGAGTGGAAAAGCTGTCAAGTTTTAGAAATTCACCTTAAATAATTTTACAGTACATGTGATTTAGGTGGAAAGGTTTGAGCATCAAAACAACAAAGAGAAAAAACAAACGAGAAATTTGAAAATGGAAAGAGAAAGTATGAAACATTTAACATTTCTGAAGTTTTCTTTAGAAACCTGCACCACCTCTAATCTACATGTTCAGCATGTCTGTCAAAGTTTCTTCATCATTCAAATTAAACCTAAAATACTTTAATAGAATCTAACTGGGAAGCTGGTGCTACCAACTCTTTTTCTGGAGCACAGTTCACAAATCATAACTCACATTTTCAGGTACCACTTCTGGAAAATCTTTTTACTAACTCAGCTACATTTTCAGAAAAGTCTAACAATTCCCTTGGAGATAGTGTGGGAAATGGAGTTGATGGTGTGGGTTTGTTGACTGTTCCATTGGTTGAGTCCATGGAAGAAGCTGTGCTGGGAAGGTGCCGTGCAGTGGTTTGACTTAAGATGGTATTTAGTTTGTGTACTACCGATGGTGTCTGTACTACTGCTGCGGTGGGTAATACCAGTGGTTTCCCTACTGCCACGTGTCTTGGTACCACCACAGATTGCTGTGCTAGTCTCGACCCTGATACTCGCTTTGGTACTGTGCCATCAATAAACATGTTTGTGGTCTTGTACTGGATCAGGTACTCGGGGTAGATCTGCTGCTTCTCAAACACCACAAATATGGAGGGGTTCATTACATCATTCACACAGCTGTCATAGAAGTTTATGCCCCCTCCATCCTTGGAGGGAGGTCGGCGATAATCAGAGGACCCTTTGGTGAAGTCTCCCACCAGCACCCGTGAGATGAACATGGCTCTGACGTCAGTGTCACCGGTGTAGCTGTGGGAGTAACTGGCATCACGGGCAAAGTAACTACCTGTGTTTAGACACCAAAAAAGACGACTGTGAAAAAAATGCATTTGTGGGGAAAGACAGCAGGAACCCTAGTGTCACAAAATCATCTGCAAGACTGAAATGAAAATGTTTTAAATGGATGCTATTCAACATTTCTTCCAATCACCTTTGCCATAAGACGTTCCGTGAGTTCCGCAGATTCTCCAGTCAAAGTTGTGGTGACAGATGGTGTCTGCAAATTTGGAGTCAGTGCCATGAAAAAGCTTTTCTTCCGTCACATTTCCTCCTTTGTTTTTGGTCTTCATCTGATTCTTCTGCCTTCAAGTAGGAGACAGAAAAAATGAACTCAAAGGGGTACATGTACAGTAAGTGTGTGAACGTAAAGTCAATCAACCTATGTAGATGTGAGGCAACCAGAACCCGGGGGACAAGAAAGAAAGAGAAAGAAGAAAAGAGAAGTTGGGAACAGAGGGATAGAGAGAGAAAAGACACTGAAAATCTGCATAATGACCTGATGTAGGAAAAAAAACCCCAAAGAAAACAGTAGGAAACCACGGTAACAACCAACATAAGCATAAGTAACAGTAAATAATACATATAGAATGTTACTGAGCAGCATACACGACTAGTAATGCACGATATGTTTACAGGCAGCAGCCAACCAAGATAGTGTGTGTCTGTGAGTACCTGCTTGTACACCTGTGTGAACACTTGTGTGTACACGCATAAGGTTTGTTCATGTAAGTGTCCAATAATAGGTTTGGGGAGCCATAGCCCTGCCCCCCAGGACATGAAGCAGGCATGGAGGAGATCCAGGCCCCAGGCATCTACAGGTCCCCCAGAGCATGAAAGCAATGATCATGACACTTTGCATATTAATGATCAAGGAGCTGACCTCACAGCCCATTGCTCATTCATTGGTGCTGGTTTCAGTCACTGTGTAAATGTACTATTTATAAGGTTGGAAGCCTGCGGACAGCTGAGACTGAAGACGTCACTTGGATGAGTGACGAAACGTTTCTCCCACTGAAAACGTCCAGATGAACAGAATCTGGTTTTCCATCGGTGTGTGAATGTTGTTAGTTTGTACTTGAGTTTAGAAGTGCATGTATAAATGTGTGAATTAGGCATGTTGTATACAGTGCTTTGAATACTCCGGGAGAGTAGAAAAAAGCTATATAAGAATCAGTCCATTTAACCTTTTGGGGCGGTATACTAAAATGCTACTTACACTGGACAAAGCAGAAAAAAGTCAGATAATATACATGTTGATCTTAGATAAAGCTTCTGGTTCTGAAAATCTACCTTGCACTCATGAAGTCAACCATGAACTACAATTTGTTCACGGGACGCCATCTGTCTGACAGCAAAGCCTTTGGTCATGCATCAGGACAATGATCCCAAGCACAACCGCAAATACACAACAGAATGGCTGAAAAAGAAACAAATCAATATGATGCCCAATGAATGGCCCAGACTCATTCATGAATGAAATGTTGTAGTGGGACCTTAAGAGAGCTGTGCATAAACAAATGTCCACCAAACTCGATGAACTTAAGCAACACGACCCTAAAAGTTCTTTTTTAAAAAATCTTATCAAACAGGGAAGATTAACGTTTGTGCTTGGCAGTGTGATGGTGTGGCGCTCCGCTCTATCCTCCAAGATGTCAACGCTCACCCCCACAGACTACTTCCAGAATTTGGGAGTGGAGAGGACAGAACAGAAGGGACATGCGACAAATGCTGGTTGAAGGATATGATGTCAGCCCACATACTCAACTCTGCTGCTCAACCTGCAGCTGCATTTTCCACCAATTAAGGGAAATGAACAGGCTTCCCAGATTGAGATTTATTCCAAGAAGCATTTTTACAACACAAGCCAAACACATTTAATTACTGGATGCACAATAAATGAAATACGTACAGCTGAAAGGCTTCCCAAAGAGCTTTGTTCTGAATCCTCTCAATGTTGATGATGTCACAGCCTTTCATGGTTTCAGAGAAAAGAGCTACAACTTCTCTAAATTCTTCCGAGCTGGGCTGGAGTGAGATTCGCTATAAGAAAAAACAGGAACATTAAACATTTTCAGTCACAATTATAAAGGAAAAGTAGAATTTTAGTGGAGACAAATAACATGATCACAATGCTAACACACAAAATCTTTTAAGGTGATATGAAAACATGTAAAGCAGGTTTTTTCAGCAGATAGTGTGAAATATCTGAATTTATTTTCAGTTATGATTCAAACTCTTTGGTTGGTCTCTATGAACTGCTGAAGGATCCAACATGAACTGTCCTTCTAAAAACTCATTTCCTATCCTGGCCCATCCTGGTCACTTCTAGTGAAAATCTTCATCTTCAGCTCTACCATCCTGATCTTTTCTTTATTTCTTTTTCTCAGTGAATTTACTTCTTTTTAAAAATATTATCAAAATAAAATACATTTGAAACCATCTGCATTTAAGAGCAGCCTATAGCAGTAAAGAAGTGTGTGCGCACACGCACACACACACACGCAC